TATTTGTTTATTTTTAGTATGTCACTGCTCAAACTCCACCAGGAGCACAAAAATAAGTTCTTACTCAAATCAATTGGCTATACTTTGTTATCACTTCTTTTTTTTTCAGATTCAGGTACTTATTTAATTCAGGTACTTATTCAGGACCTGCATAGGTTTAAAAAAACAACCACATACAGTAAAGTAAACAAATCATAAATGAAAAACTGGATGAACTGTCACAAAGTGAACACACCTGTATTATCACACAGGTTAAAAAGTAAATTCAATTATTGCCAGCACCCCAAAGTCTCCTTTTTGTCCAGTCCCAGTCTCATCTCCACCCCTACATTACTGTTTGCCCATATAATTGAAATCATACAGTATTTATTCTTTTGTGTCTGTCTTCTTTTGTGCAGTATTATCTGTGAGTAGATTTTCATTGCTCTGCTGTACTTCATGACATAAATATGCCACTATTTATGTGTTTATTTTCACTGTGGACAGGCATTTCACACACACCGATGTGAATGTCCTCTTACACATCTTTTGTGCCAATATAGACACAGTTCTCTTTGGTAGATGGCTGGGGACAGAACTGTATGTTATCACTTTTGTTATAAGGGTCCAGTCAGAAAGGAAAAAGGTTCAGACTGTTGTCTAAAGTGTGGGCTGGATATTTTCTTTGGCTTTTAATTTTCTGTGTACTCCTTGTCCCTCTGTACCACGGAAAGTGTATAGGGAGCTCTGCCTTCCTGGGGGATGGCCCGGGATACTGGGCGGTGGGAGAGTACCAGCAGCTGCTGGCAGCGGAGCTCACAGGGGGCGGGGGGCAGGACCAACCTCCGGGATGCACAGGCCTGAGAGCTGGGACACGGGTGTGGTGAGCAGGTCCTGCACACTGAAGCTTGCTGTTGCTGTCGGGAACACATTCACTACCCCAAGCTGGGTATAGCTTAGTTCACAATGTAGGCGAAATCTACTGAAAACAGAGGGTGAGAAAACTGCCTTCAGGGAGTTTAAAATCTTTTATCAGCTTGGTGGGAAACCAAGGAGTTAGTCGAGCAATGAAAGGACTCATAAGTATCGTGTCACATTAGAATAAAAAAGAATGAGATTTGAGGCCAGGCAGATTACACGTATTCAAGGCATTCCTAAAACTCCTGGGAAGCGGGAAGGCTTCATAAAGAAGTGTCCAGAGGACTGAAATCCTACGCAACAGCCGAGAGGCCGACAACATGTCTCCCTGCCTAAGTAGAGCCGGAGCTGGCGACATCTGCCGTTACAGCAGGGCACAAAGAGCAGCAGGCCAAGGCAGCCGGCTGCGCCGAGCCCCCGTGCGTTAGGACAAGCATCGCGTCAGTGGAGTAAACTGGGAACATGGTACCATTTTCTACGGCTACTGATAAATGCAAAGCACATAGGACCTTAAAGTGGAAAGTCGGAAAAGACAAAACACTCACACTCAAAAACCCAAGACAAACAAAAAAGCTCCCAACCCCCTAATGCTGCCTAGCAATTTAAAACAAATTAATGCTACCTTTCATTCAGCGATAAGTCCTTCATTTAGAACATAAAGAGGTCTAAATTCCTAGTCACAGAACCTCAGCAGCAGCAGGGCCTAGCAGGGCAGGGAGGCCTCACTCCAACCCTGTTCCCTCTCTCCAGGTGCCACACCTCTCATGTCTCTGGCAGCCAGTGACTGTCCTCAATCTGTCCTCTTCCAGACCACCTACAGACAGCCGGGAGAGACCCCGGAATAAACACAGCTGCGTCTTTGTGCTGGTGGCAGCAACGGGGTAACGCTGTGGAAACACGGCATCCTTGCGCAGACCCAGCTTTATTTACAGGGTGCTTAACAAAATATGCAAAGAGAAGGTAAGCAGAAAAACACAAGGGCTCTGCTTTGCTGTAGAATTGGAGACATTTATTCTGAGGCCTTTGCAGATACAGCGCTTTGAAGCTGACAAGAAATACAGCTGCTGAAGTCCACACAAAGGCATCTGCTAGGAGTACAGGGTAGCCAGATTCCTCAACCAACAGGCCCAATCTGAGAATTGCTAAAACAACGTCATAACTGTCACAACCTTGGAGGATTTCAAATTGTCCTTGTGATCTTAAATCATAAAAGACTCCAGCAAAGAATGACAAAGCTGGGTGGTATTCGATGAAACCTCTCAGCAATTCATACATTGTCAAGATGGACACAGTAAACTGGGCTCACGTTTGCCTCTAAGTGACCATAAAGCACGTTCTGAAATTGACTGCTAGAAACAGCCGTCTCCCCCAACTCTGCCACTATCATGATGTATCGTTATGATTGTTAACTTTTCGTTTTCCACTCAACACTGACTTAGGTTGTGGTTAGTGCTATTACTGAGTGGCTGGCCTGATGTATTGAATACCTGCTGTGTAAGGCCCTGTGGTATCTACAATGGAGACAGGAATTTGCCATCAAGGGGCTTTGTTAAGCTGTGCGTTAACACATCAAACCATCGTCAGTCTTTGGTAAAAAGGATCACTAGATATGGCAAAATATAGTTGTTTCGAGGATTAGAATCTGTACTAACTATGGTCCATTCCAGACTGATATACCATGTAGCATGAAACACTTCAGGTGTTCACTTAATGTAAAAAACATCTACAGAATGGGGAGCTGTGCCATCACAGTGTTTGCTAAGACTGAAACCAAAGGAATTCCATGTTTCAAAGTGATTTTTTCCTCTCTAGGACAAACGAAATCTGATGCAGAATTGCAAACACAAGCTCTACAGTGATATTTCATTGCCTCAGCAGCTACTACAGCAATTTTGGGTTTAATGATTTAATTTCCGGCCAGCTTCTGCACGTATTGCACTAACATTTGCCAGCTGGCTTCAGAATGTGGACCAGAAGTTTAAGAAAAAAGAAACACTACCAGTAATTTTTATATTAGCAAAAGACTCTCTTTCTTCTTCTAGTGTTTCTGTCTCAGGGATACAGTATTATTTATCATTTTTTTGATCCAGGAAAGACCTGTGAGTCCTCAAGAGTCATTCATACCAGCTTAATGGCAGGATCGCCTGACTTGGGAAACGATGCATCGCCGAGAGCAAAGGAGAGACGAGAAACAGGTTCAGTTTCACTGTGAGGCAGGGTACCACTGCCGACCTGTGCTTCAGGCCACTGACTCGTGCTTCCTGTGTTTAAAGTGAATGATCCTGGGAAAGCTGAGTTACTGCACACGGAAGCACTCCTTCCGAGGTAAAGGGGAGAAAAACGAAGTCACGCCAAGTCCCACAACTGCGAACGTTTGTCCAAAACGTTACCTTCTTTTTCTCAGGATGTATTTCTCTAATATAGGTGTGCAATTCAACACGTAAAGGTATTCAAATTATAATAAAAATAGGCTGCTTATTTTTCTGTGATAACGCCTGTCTTGGCTGGACTCCCCCGGAAGCTGACCCTGCGATATGGTTTCCAGGCTCGAATTTAACTTGGGAGGTGATACCAGGAAACATCAGGAGGGGATGGGGAAGCCAGGTGGGAAAGGGGAGGAAGCAAGTGGAGGTGTCGGTGAAGGTGGTCCTGAGGGTACTGGGGCCCAGCCTCGAGGGCAGCTCTGGGCACGCTGCATACCGTGCCTCCCAGCTGCCCCGGCAGCTCCACACCAACTCCTCGCCCGTCTTTGGCTGAAGCCTGCTTCCGGGCCAGGAAACTCTCCAGTGCTTCCAGCCTACCACGTGTCCAGGAAGAAAGACCCAAGGCACAGCGGCAGGTGCCAGAGAGCAGAGGGGCAGCAGAGGGGGTACGGGTGGGCTCTGGTAGGCACTGCTACACCCTGTTGTGTTCACCTGGTCCCGTCACTGGTGCCTCACGGAGTTACACCCGCACCAGGAGTGCTGATAGGCTGAGCTGTGGGCTCCTGCTGCAGTTAGTCCTGGGGCCACAGAGGTTCTCAGCATCTTCCTCCTTTATCACTCGTTCCGGATGTCCCTCACTCTCCAGCAGCACTCCTGCTGGCCTAGGTTGCCTGCTTGATGATGTTGCTTGTTTCGTCCCTGTGGGGTCTGAGCCCCTGGTTGCCATACCCCTGTCAGGCCAGGGGTGCTGCGTTATCCATTTGCTGCTATCACCAGGCACGGAAAAGATATTCAGCGAGTGCCCTGAGTCCAGAAGTAATCCTCCCTGCCCCTATTTCCTACTGATCATAAAGGTCATTTTTTTTTTTTTTGTCGCCTGTATGAGGAGCCCAGGGGAGGAGAGGTCTTTAGATTGAGTGGAACCTTGTGTCCCCTGGAGGAGCATCCTTCCCTGCCGCAGGAGCCAGGGCTCTACTGGGGACGCAGCACCGTACGCTGGTATGAGGTTCACAATACACCTTGCATCCCATAGCACAGCATCCCACCCCCGCAAAACGTTATCCCCGGCCAGAGCTACAGTTGTGCCCCTGAGGCCGTGCTAGTGTTCTACGAGGGTGGCACCTTCTGGGTGTGTGAAGTAGGGCAGACCCAGTGCATCTTGCGGTACTGGCCCCTCTGTCATACCTCTTTCACTCTCAAACGGGTCCCTGTCCCAGGTGATATCACGGGAAGCCCCCTGATGATAAATCAGACACAGTGAGCAACTGCACAGTGATGACTGCCAGAGCCCTGCAGGCAGGGAGGACTAACCCGAACCCGGATCTGCATCTGGGTCTGAGAAAATCCGCTTGCCACCCAGTGGCTGCCTGGCCTCCGGGAGGGAAGGCCCCGTTCCCCGGCTGGACCTCGGCCTCCGCGTCCGGAAGGGCGGACGCAGCGCGCAGTTCCATAGCCGTCACCACGGATACACACTCCCAGGCCCCGGAGCAAACAGGCCGGCCCGTCGGCTGGAGTAACCCGCACAGGCGAGCGGAGAGGAGGGGCGGGGAAGCAGAAGCGCAGCCAGCCCTCACCCCTGGTACATACAACGCGCGACTCCTTCCGCACTAAACCGAGTGGCCGGAAGAGCGCGTTCTCTTCCGTCCCGCAGCGCTCGGGGCTGCGCGTCACTTCCGGCCGGCCCGCGGCGGCCGCTCCCTGTCAGGCAGCCGGTTCCTCCTGGCCGGGCCCGGGTGGGCCGCCTTTCTATGTCGGAGGCCGGCTCCCGGCAGCGCCCGCCCACCGAACCCGAGCACTGTCCACGCTCAGGGGTCCCGGCCGCGAGCACCATGGCATTCCGGCCTGCGCGTCGCCTGCCGCCCAGACGCGGAGGTTCAGCCTGAGGCTCCTGAGGAACCGGGGTCGCGGACGGGTGCTCCGCTCCCATCCGTCTCCCAACTCCCGCCCCCACCCCGCCCCTGGGGCTCGGCCGTCGGGCGCTCGACGCTCGACTGCGTGGCGGATCGACGCCCTCGGCGCTCCGGTGGCGGAAGTGAGGGCGTTGGCGGCGGGGCGGCAGCGGCCAGGGAGCCCTTGGTGGAGCGCGGGGCCCTGTCCGTGCGGGCCTGCAGGTAGGTGTGGGGCGGGGGGGCGGTGAGGCCTTGGCTGAGGCCGGCCGGGGCCGCCGTCAGCCCCGCGCCGCCCTGCAGCCGCGACCGTGCGGAGGGGCCCTGCGCGGGTCCCGGAGCCCCGCCCCCTCCCCGCCGTCCGGGGCCCCTGCTGGGGACTCGGAGCCCCGCCCCGGCTCCCGGCGTGCGCCTTCGGAGCGCCGAGCCGCGGGGGCGGGTGGCCGCTGGCCTCCACTGCTCCCTGGAGCGCCTGCTTACCTGTCCCAGCGTAGGGTTGCGGGGTTCACTGGCGGGGAGCGAAGTCAAGAGGCCGGTGTTGCTTGTTCTCCTCGGTCGCGTCACTGGAGAGCTGCGCCGAGCGTTTACTAGCGCCCGTCGCCTTGCCTCCGGATCGCTTGCGTTATCCCCACTTGACGGCCGGCTAGACGGAGCTCATCGTGGCGGCGCGCCTAGCCGTCAGTCTCAGCGCGGGCTGCCTGGCGGCCGCGCCCGGACGCCGGCGCTCCCCCAGTGAAGCCGGGGCGTGCTCAGGCGGGCGGGAAACCGCGCGCAGGCGCTTCTCTCGGAGGGGAAATAGGCGACCGCTCCTGCTAGCGAGTCTGAGAAACGTGTGCCTTTCTTTTCATTTTTCTTCTTTCTTTTAATGAATCTGAGTAAACTTGCAAGGAAAGCTTTAACAAAGTGTTTTAGAACGCTTAAGTAAGTCACCTGGATGCGCTGTATTGAAAAGCTCCTTCTCGCTGAGGGTGTGCGCACCGCTCCTCGAATGCCTGACGATGCTCTGCTTACGTTCTGGGCAGGCTTGGTGTAACGACAGGAACTGACAGCCGGAAGCTTCCCGGGGAGCCTGTGTGTCCAACGTGGTGGATCCACAGGGGTGATGGAAAGAGGGCGATGCGTGCTTGGTACTTAGATGCTCTCTTCTGTCTGGTTCAGTAGAAGTCTAGTAGTTTTAAACAGAGGGCCCCCCAGCGCAACTTGGAACAATTCTTGGAAGTTTCAGAAAATGATTTTTTTCTTCTTGTCAGGCATTTAATTTCCCGAGCTGAATATCGTGTTGAAAGTTACCTCTCTAAAAGACGGTTTACCAGCATGCTAAGTCGAATTTTCATTCATCCCACAAATACTGGAGAGCCCGTGCTGTGTGACTCTAATGGGAAGGGGGACTAGTACTTAAAATTTTTGCACAGGCAGCCTTTTAATAAAGCACTGCGGCCAGTTTCCAGTGCTGGGCCCGGCAACCTGAGGCCATGTAGGAAATGCTGGTTGTACAGTTAGCCTCTGCATTACTGTTCACCCGTTCTCCACCTTACTCCTGTCGTCTCGCCAGGGTTCCTAGTTCAGCGCCTGCCACAGAGGAGAGCTTACATGTTTTCCGAGTGCGTGGGTTTTAGGCCCGTGTTGGGTAGAGAGGATTGTAAATTGACTGGGGTGGGAAGTAACGTCCGTCACTCTGCTGAGCAGAATGCTAGGGCCTTGATTGTTCTCAGACGCTGGGGAAGGTGTTCCTGGATCCCCGGGAGTGCCTGGTGAGACCGCAAGGTGGAAGTGTTAGTTACACTCTCATGATTCTGTGCATGTTTATGCCGATTGGAAAGAATTGTTGATACAAACACAAGCTTACAGTAATTGTAGAGAAATGCTGCATCTCTGTGGACACACCTGTAGGTATCCTTAGACCTCAGTTTGAAAATTATGGAGTCGAAGCACCATTTACTGGTCCGTGTGCTACCACCACCTGCTCTGTAGCATGGGCTGAGCTACTTAGCAGCCTTTTTGGGCTTCCGTTTCCTTGTACCTGAGGATATATAAAACTAGATTATCTCAGAGTTCTTCCTGCTTTGAAATTTTCCAACTCAGTGAATCCTATAACCACTTAGCGCTTGTCCTGTCCTGTGGTATCTTAGGGGTTGTAGCTATTGTTGGTATTTACACGTCTGTCAACAGACTAAGCTCTTGCCAGACAGGGATTAGCCTTAGTCATTTTTGTATCCCAATTTTAGCATATGCCTGACACATGTTAGAAATAAAATTAGTCTGTATTCAGAAAGGGGATATTTTTGCCCTCTCCATTAAATAGCCAAGAACTAAGCTGCAGTATTCAGTGTAAGTACAGCAGGAATTCAGAGGGGGGAAGGATCTTTTGGGGTTGGAGCAATTGGGAAGGCTTCATGGAGATCAGAACTTGATGGGGGAGGATTTGGCCCTTCCGAGAGAAGGCATGTGAACGTCTGGGTGGCTTATGAGAGACAGAGGCCCATAGGCTGGGAAGTGAGTGCATTTTGGATTATGGAGTTCCTTGAACTTCAGGCAGAGGAGTTTGGAACTGACTTACGAGGCTTTTTTTTCCTGGAAAATTGTATTAGGTTTGCTCAAAAGCTTCATTAACATCCTTTAATACTGTTGGTAGCAGTTAAGACTGGGGTGGACTATACAGTTTGCTTAATTTTCGGTTTGGGTTTGAGTAATTCCTTCTACTTACTAGTTGCCACTTACAGTCAGTCTTGGTGCCAGGATGGAAAGAGCAGTGGACACTGGGACTTAGGAAACCTGGATCTTAGTTAGGATGTGAGCTGTGCAAGGCGGGTCCTCGCCACGACCTGTGGTGCTGTCTGGCACCAGTTCGCTTTCAGAAGTCCTTGTGCAGCGCTGACTGAGCTCTGCCTCTGCTACTTGCTAGCTGTGCCACCTTCGACAGGCTCGACCTTTAGTTTCATCTGTAAGCTTTGGTGCATTTTTTACGGCCATATCCGCTTGTAAAGTGCGGGGTATATGATTTTAACTTTTGTTGTATTATAATTTTACTGAAAGACAAAACAAGGTAAAAAGCAAGGAATATTTGGTTTTAGTTTAATTTTAATGAAAGCCCCATGTGATTGACATATCTGGGTGTCAGGAATCAGAATTCATGCCAGATGGTTCAAATAATGAGATTTAAATAAAGAAACAACTTGCAGAGGTGTGGGCAGAGTGAGGGAACAAACGGGATAGTGAGGCCCAAAGGGCTACTAAACAGCTGGAGGGGGCAAAGGAGAAAGCAGAGCTGCCCCAGCTGGAGCCTCGGCGGAGGGGTGGCTGCTGCCAGAGGTGTGGTGCTGGGGGCTGGGGGAGCAGGACAGAGGTGCCCCAACCTGAGACTGGTTCACCTCTGAAATCCGGAGCTCAGACCATCCACTCTTTGCTGGCAGTCTCTTGTCTTTTTGACCCTCACTCAGTTACCTCCCTCTGCTCCTTTACCCGATATTCCGTCACCCTTCTACCAGGATGCTCAGTTGTGTCCTCCCTCATCTTTCTGTGGCATCTGGCCGACAGATTATCAGTCCTGGACCATCTCAACTCTTTGCCTTTTTTAAATGCTTGAACTGAGGTTCTGAGACCAGAAGGGGAAAATCATAGCGTCTAGATTTGTACCCCTATAAATCTGTGGTCACCACTTGCAAGTGGCCATCAAAGAGTTTTTTAGAGTTTTCTTTGTTAGCCACTTGCTGCTTCTCTGCAGAATCTATTTTAAGCATTTTCTACTCTTGTCAAACCTCTCATCCTTACACATAATCAGTCTCTACTAAGCAGATAATCTTGCCACCTGAGAACTGTGAGAGCTCTCAGAGGAGAACCCTGGGCTCTCTTCCAGAACTTTTCCTCCTCCCAGTTACATTGAAAGTGGTTGCCTTTACCCCAGGACGGATCCCTGTACCCCTGCACTCCTGCCTTTGGGAGCACTTCACTCAGTGTTCCTCTCTTGCTAAAGGCTCCTTCCAGTCAGCCTTTAAACGTGCTTAGACAGACAGCAGCAAAGCAAAATAGAAAAACAACAATAAAAAGGTAGCATCCTCCTCTGATTTCACATTCACCTGTTAAAGTTTCTCTCTCCTTCCCTTCCAGCCAGATTTCTTAAATAGTTGTTCATACGCTGCATCAGTCACCCCACTGCTGTCTGGTTAGGTGCCCACCACTCTGCTGAAGGCCAAGGTCACCTGGGACCCCCTTGTCACTAGGTCTTGTTCCTGTCATTTCCCTAGTGTAGTGCCAGAGACCCAACCGATGCTTAATAGATACTTGTTTTGACTGAACAATCTGAGGGTACTCCCTCGTTTCAGATCCCGGTTTATCTGCATCTTTTTTGTTTTTCTCTTTCTTTTTTAATAAAGATTTTTTTGATGTGGACCATTTTTAAAGTCTTTATCGAATTTGTTACAGATATTGCTCCTGTTTTTGTATTTTGTTTTGGCGCGAGGCATGTGGGATCTTAGCTCCCCCACCAGGGATAGAACCCGCACCCCCTGCATTGGAAGGCGAAGTCTTAACCACTGGATCGCCAGGGAAGTCCCCTCTTTGTTTTTCTTAGGGATGGGAATCTGACACTGTCATCTTTTGAGGTGCTGGGTAACTAGTCTCTCTATATATCTCAAATCTTCTGGGTCCATTAAACAAATAGAAATCTGTTTTATTTGATAATGACCTTTTCAGTATTGTCCAGGTGACCTGTCTTTCCAGGGGGACCTGGCATTTTTTTCCCTAAAAAATTACATTTCCTAAAATATCAAGAAGTTATGTTGTGTCCACCCCATGTGGATCTAGTAAAGAGGAAGTGGTAGGGACATGGGGACAGCTGGCAATAGACTTGACGAACGAATAATGCCGTGCTTTGACATGAAGCACTCTCCTTCTTCCTTCCAATAAGTAGTGTATCTTCTTGGACGTTTTTGCTCTTACGTTTCTTTTTTGAAGGGTGGTGGTAGAGGGGATGGATTTGCACTGTTCTGTTTCATTTTTGATATGTCATCAGTGTCCAGTGGCATGAGTTAGAGGACCAGTCACCTTTGGACCCACAGCTTTTTGCTTTGAAATGTAGTGAAGGTAATTGTCCCCTAGGAGGAGACTTAGCCTGCTGAGGCAGAGAGTTTATAGTTTCTGGGAAATAAAGGAGTGTTTTAATAAACTCTTCTAATTAAGATGGAATCCAGTGCTTGTTTTAAGGGAATAGCTGGGTAATCAAGTATTTA